ATTTTCGTATGACAACGTTCTTGCAAGTAGGTGTATTTCATTTTGCAGCGTGTTACTCAGTCTTAGACAGTCTTACTCGTCATTAACTAATGACGGCTGCGGAAGATACTAACGGAATGTTATCATTTTATTTTATTTTTTTATTAACAAAGCTTTGCCTCCAAATGAAGATATGATAATATACAAAATAATATACAAATCAGACAAAATAAAGAATCACGAATGAGGTGGGGATTATACAACAGACCATAGTTCAATCTAAGTACACCCTTAAAAATTCTATTCTTCAATTTTCTAGTTAGACTGACACATATGAATTAAGGTTATCAAGACCAAAACTATACTGGGTGTTGTAATTCTCATTTTGGTGAACGAGGGCTGTATCCCTTCGCAAAACCTCGTTGCTTAGTTTACTGTATGCTATTTTTAGCCCCAAGCTTTTGGTTTTAGTGACGTGCAGGGTATGGGGCAAGGATTTAAAATCTTTGACTTTTATTCGTTTTTCAGTGAACTATAAATGAACAGGTACTACTTTGCTTGTTCGTGGTTTATTGTTCTAATGAGTTTTATCAGTTTTAAGAAAACGTGACAAATTAATTACAATAATAAAGAAACACGGAGGGAAAAGCGAAAAATGAAAAATGATACTAGACGAAGACTAAAATTGAAAATCAAGAAATGATAATTTATAGATAGCAGAATTATATTATGACTCATTCTGAAAATCATCCTGAGTATAATCTAGTCTGTCTACAATTGAGGGAAAGTCAACATAACTATCTTCTCTTGAGACAAAGTTAAAACGTTTTTTTACGTACTGTTATTAAGAGGAAATTTTTTTCAATAATGAGCAATCATGGCAAAAAGTGCCAAAAACTAGACTTTCGTATGAGTTTTGATCCCAATTTTCTTTTTGGATTAACACTCGAAACCTTTTTCAAACAGTTAGAAACTGATATACTATGATAAAATGCCTATTTGAAGCGATATTTTCAATTGTACAAAGATGTTTTGTTGCATTTGTGTTAGAATGTTGCTTTGTCAGGCTTTTTTATAGAAAATATAAGGGAAATAAGCAAATGAAGGCCTAAACCTCTTTTTCGATTAAAATTTTGCTTTGGGTTAACACTTTGATTCCACTTTCATCGGTCATCTCCGCTTCCAAACAAGTTAAACTTTCTGAATAACAAGATTTTAGCCTTGTACAACAGCCTAGCTTTTGGTGCTCACTGCTTGAATACGAAAAGAATTCTTTCTTAAACTTAACTTGTTGCGAGTACTTACTATGAGTGCCAACAAAGAAGTATAACCAAGATGCCACGAAAACAGCAATACTAGTTCAAGAGGAGAGGAAGCTTTTCCCTTTAACCAATCTAAAATAGGATGGCCAAAGATCAGGGAAAAGGATATGAAGGCGCCTGCCGGAATGAAGAACAGGGAGGACATCTGTCTTTCATGGTCTCTTGTTATGCGAATCTTATATTCATAGATTGAAAAATACGCAGTCTAAGACTGCATGTGGCTAGTGCTATAAATGAAAAGTCGGAAAATATTATATTAGATAAATACAGTGACCAAGGTATATCTACAACACTTTTTATGAAACGTTCAGGATTGTCTGTCAAATATCCTGTAGCTCTGATTTCAATATGATGACTTGAATAAACAATTGCCTCCTCAACCTACATCTAATGATCGTAATCTAAATCTAAGTATTCTATAGACAATACAAAGTCTGGGTTACTAAATGAAATATTTTCAATAGAATTGCCCATCAAGGGACCTGGATTCTATTCAACATCACCTGACAATAATAGCCTTTGTTTTATAAATATATTATTTCTTGCTAGAAAATTTTGGTTCTCTTATTAAAGATAACCACTATAGAAATTCAAGGGACCTAGATTCAATTCAACATCACCTGACAATAATAGCCTTTGTTTTATAGATATATTATGTCTTGCTAGAGAATTTTGGTTCTCTTATTACCTTCTCTGTGAATATATTTTATTTTCCATTCTATATATTAAATTCAGTTGTAGCAATTCTATGTAAACAGATAAATGTAGGTCCTGCTTTTGACAGTATTTTCTTATACTTGCATCGTAGTTTTCTATTTTTTAGTAAAATGATGATGTTTTTCATTCTTAAGGAGGCTGTGGGTAGTTTTGGTCTGGCACACCTAGCCGCATTGAAACGGCTACAACTTCGTCTTGAATAACTCGATCTGCAAGTGCTTTTCACACAATGTCAGGAAAGGATTAAAGGTTTCAAAAGTGATAAATTAGTTTAAAGCGGCCTTCTCGTTTTGACGTAATGGTGACATCATGGAAATCGTTTACCGCTTATTTTCTCGAAAACTAGACCTAAACTTAGCAGCAATAAGGGGGACTCGCGGTCACCCCCCGGAATTAAGCGGGTACTACCCGCCCTCGCGTACGAAGGTCCCCCGCGGGTATTGCCCGTAAGGTAGGTCTGGGTGTTGCCCGCGTAATTCGATTTGAAAAGCTCTCTGCGGGTTTTATCGGTGCCCCAGAGTACTATTATATATAAGGAAAGAAGTTTTTTTGCTGAAAAAGTGTCACAAACGAAGGTTAAAATATTTCCTAGATATAGATGGACGCCATCACAAGCATTCAAAACAAGACGGTCAGAAAGTTGCGAACTCAAGTCTTAGATCGGCTAGACGCCGACTTTGCCTTCACGGCATTTATATTACAGAAGGAAACGTAGAAGAAATCATGGATGAAGATAGAGCTCAACAGATAATAGATTTAATGCCCGAAGGTGATTACCGGCTGCAACTAACGTTCATAAAGTACTCTGATGGCCAATGGGCAATAGAAAAGGGTCGCAACCCTATCCGGGCGTCGGGCAAGCAGGGGCTTTTCGTCCTTAACAAAAACACCAGGCCTGGAGCATTGGTAGGCATCGACATGATGTTCTATGAAGTCGCGTATCCTGTTACTGTAGTGATCTATGGTGCATACAAGATTAAAGAACCAGACGTTTAGAAGAGTATATTTTTGTACATCGTTTCGACAACCATTTTCGACAACATTTTTTTTGTGCACCCCCTGCATAGAGAAGCACGTCTCGGACAAGAAAAGACTGAACTAAGGGGGGCCCCAACCCACCGCCCCCTAGAAGAGTGTATTTTTGTACCTTTTTGTGCACCCCCTGCTGTACTATTGGTTGTCCGTGTATTTTTGTACCGGGGCCTCGAAATCATCGTAGCCGCTGCAGTCTCTTTTGTGCTCTGTAGAAGCCCTCCAATACGTCCAAGAGGATACGTATGGTTCTATCCCTTCCTAGCATGTATACAGTATTACAACTGAAGCTCTGACAGTCTGACTACATCAACCAAAGCCACCCAAACGAATTTCAAATCAATTTCCCAACTCACATTTTAACGCTGCATAACAGATGAATTAGTGAATTGTCCACTTCTGATCATACACACATGCGTATAAAGTAAAATATGATTTTTAAGAGGAAAATAGGTAAATTTGTACGATTCTATTATTTAAATACTCAATCGTGATTGGCTAATTTGTATGAAAATTTGTCGTGGTGGCCTTGGTTGGTGTAGTCGCACTATTAGTACATAGATTTAAAAAATGTCTGAACTCTCGACTCTTGCGTTCATAAAATTAAACCAATTAATCATAATTTCCATTGTAGAAACGTAGAAAAATATTACACTGCTGGTTCAGGGGGAGGAACTGAAGTCAGGGTAGTTGCCATCAGAGCTACCATGATTGCATGAAAATAGCTAGCTGTTATACTATTAACAGAAAGGAATAGTCTGCTGACTAGTTTTACAGAACAACAGGCACAGCATAAGATGGCTGGATTTTTGGCGTTCTTAATGCTTGGTCAAAAATTCTAGCCACGACTGTTGTAAATTTGATTGATGTGAAAGTCTGTTTCCGAATCAGAATTAAACTATTCACTCATGACTCGCTTTGAACTGTGAATCTTAAAACAAAATTAATATAAAACTCACAGGGATCCCAAATCGGGCATTGACGGGGAGGGATCGACTTAGCTTTTATTTAGCCTCCTAACATCATATCTAGTCTCAGATTTCCACACTTGATTGTCATATACTAAATTTTACAAAACTACTTTGTAACTCTTACTTTGAAGGTACTTGGCGGACCCACCTATTAAAACACGCCCTCTGACGTCACTGACATCAGTGACCTTTGCACCGCCTGGAAGTCAGAGACAGAACGCGAGACCATTTTGCCAACTTTTATTTCTTTCAGATTCGTAGGTTATGCTCACTTTTCCTTCACTTTAAATGGCAAAACTCCAACTACAAAGTGACTGAAATAGAATAACAAGTAAAAGAAGGCTGGAAATAATTTCTATGGCTGCTTCAAGTACAACAATCTCTCCAAGCGAAAGTAAGTCAGTCAAACCTGAACTGTGAAATACGAAACTCCCTCAGCAGAACCAAGATAAAAAAGTAAATACGGTACTAATCACACTTCTTAAATGCTCTTTATTTAAGCTTATCTATATTAATCATTACGAGTCTGCAGTTTACAATAAAAGTTTGCAGTTTGACTGCCTTTTTAACCAAGAAAAAATAAATGCGCAACTTTAGAAGATGACGAAGCTTATTAGCTTTAAAAAAACTTATATAAAAGTAAACATCAATGACAAATATGATACTTTAACGTTCGACCTGCTAGACCGTCTTATTTGTAATTTTTACTTTGTCTTGTCTTGTCTTTGACTTAATAAGGGTTCTAAAAATTTAACTTTAAAGTGTTTAACACTCTCGGTTAATAGTGTTAAATGATATTCTAAGCTATAAACTGAGTCTAAAACCATGTGTTAAACATTGAAAAATGTCTTTTTCTTTATCAAGAGTATATCAGACACTGAAGCTGGAGTTACCTAAAATTTTACAAAAGAAAGGCATTATTTTCAGGCAATGGATGCAAAAGCTACCCTATGGATGGATGGCACAGCATGGATGGATAGAAGGAATGGCATGGATGGATATATGAAATGACATGGATGAATGGATGGATGGATGGATGGAAAGATGAATGGATGGATACATGGATGGATGGATGGATACATGGATGGACGAATGGATGGATGGATACATGGATGGACAGATGGATGGATGGTTGGTTGGCTAATCTGAATGATTGACTGGGATGGCTGAATAAATGAATGACTACAAAATGTAACAACCTTTCCTTCTCTGTGCATGTTCAACAATGGATAAAGTCAAACAAAAACCTGGAACAATAGGTTTCCCAATGTAAAGTAATGTGATGTTATGTAGAATAATAATAAAGCATTAATTAAAAAAAAAGGTTTCCCAACCATTCTGCTCCTTTACTATGGAATAACTGACTCAAAATATTTATAACTTACACTTTATTGCCAGTGGTGGAAGCATTGGATGCCTGTTGAGTTGTCACTACTGGTTGCTGGGCGGTGGAGGTTGGAAAACCCTGTACCTGGGGTATCATAATCAGCATGGTCAAAATATAGAACATGGGAGAGATTCATTAAATATAAAATTAAATTTTAAGAGCTTGTCATCCAGTGCATTTCTCCACATTAACTGACATCAAGACATATCAGGGACATAGCATAAAATTGCTAATCAACCTCTTGTCATATTTTTACTTTATTATAATCACAGCAAAATATTTAATATGCGTCAATGTATGTCTCAAACATTTCTGCTGTATGTCAAAATTAATGTTAAGAGCTCAAAATTTGACTTTTTACTAAATATTGACATATATAATTTTGACATACTGTGACAAACATTTCAAGTATAACTAATATCGAAATAGATGTATCTTTATGTGTGTTCAGGTAAATTCTCACCTGTTGTGTAGGTGTCATAGCTTGTGCACCTGCTGGATTCTCCATCATATACCCTTGTCCAACCGCAGACTGGTTTGGTACTGGATGGACAGGTGCTCCAGTCATTGCTGGGACAGCCACAGGCATCCCATTAGGTCCCTGGGTCATGACATAAGCAGCAACAGGACCTCCTTGTGTTTGAAGGTAGACAATCTGTCCTTGGTGCTGAGGAACAGAAACAAAAAGACTACGTGTATAAAAGGTACATATACATGTATATCTTCATATACATTAACAATAGACCTTTTTCTTAAGGTTGCACGCTCATCAAAATTTAAGAAAATTGTCATGATTCCAGAACAGGAGCTTTAGAATTAGAATTATCATACAAGTCATTTCTATGAGATTTTTTGATAAGATAAGATTTATCAAATCGATTATTCTCCTTTTTAACTCGTGGATACGCGAAGCGTAGAAACGAGTTATTGTGATGGGTCTGAATATGCAAATGTCTCACTCGCTCACTAAGATGTTAGCAGATCGATAATCAAACGTTTAGCGATCGTCTTACGTCATTTGATTACGAATGGTACACGACACTAGCAAGCACAAAGCTCTTATACCACATAGATTACTTTGTTATTTTATATGAGGAAACGAAATGCTCATGTTCCATGTGGGATACGTTTCTAGCACTTGTAGACGCCGTGGGGGCCCACTGTGCATGCGCACACTCGCACATAGTTTTATCTTCGAATTATTYATATTAAAAGAATCAAGGAAAGATGCAAGTTGAAGTAAAATTATACGATTTACACCTGAAATAAAATTTCAATGAGTTAGACCTTTTTTTCTGATGTATTTTAAAAAAGTAAACAAAAACGCTTATTAGGTACGACGTCAACATTTCGATTTCAGACTGAGACTCGTAGATCGAGCCGGCTATCGAAAAAATTAATTAGAACTCAAGAAGAGAGTCTGATTTCAAGCTCTGGAGGACTTTATTTTCCATAGGGACAGCTCAAAGTCACGGCGGTATTCAGCAATAAAATCTCATAAACTCGATCGAGAGAAGTCTTATTATTACTGATCAACAGTTGTATTTACTAAATCAATGTAGATGTATACGTAGATCGTAGAAAAAATAACAAAAGACGAAAAAAAGACCAATTCCAATGGAGTTTTGAAGGAAGTTCGGCCAGTTTTGTCATTTAAATAAGCCGTTCTGAATAAAAAGTAGATTGATCGC